AGTTCCTCTCTAAATGTCTTGTAGAATTCAGCAGGGAAGCCATTAGGGCTTGGACTTTTCTTAGTTGGTAAGTTTTTAATTATGTTTTCAATTTCATTGATTTATATTGGGTTGTTTACAATTTTTAGGTCTTCTTCATTCAACTTTGGTAATTCATACTTATCTGGGAATCTGTCCATTTCTTCTGTGTTTTCCATCTTATTGGCATATAGGTTCTGGAAGCAGGTATTGATGATCCTCTGGATTTCTGCTGGGTCCATTGTAATTTCATCCTTGTTCATACCTAATCGCATGGATTTGGGCCTTTTTTTTCCTTTTTCTGATAAGGTTGGCAAAGGGTTTGTCAATTTTGTTGATTCTTTCGCAGAGCCAACTCTTGGCTTCATTGATTTTTTTGTATCATTCTCTTAGTCCCCATTGCATTGATTTCTGCTCTGAGCTTTATAATTTCTTCCCTTGTATGAGCTTTGGGTTTGTCCTGCTCTTCTTTTTCTAGAAGCTTGAGGTTGAGCATCAGGTTGTTTAATTGGGCTTGCTCTGTTTTCCTATAATGAGTATTCACTGCTATGAATTTCCCTCATAAGACTGCTTTCATTGTGTCCCACAGATTCTGATATGTTGTATTGTCATTGTCATTTAATTGTAGAAACTGTCTGATATCTTCTTTAATTTCCTCTGTGACCCATTGGTTATTTAGAAGTGTGTTGTTCAATTTCCATGTGTTTATGAAATTTTGCGATTTCTTTTGCCATTGATCTCCAATTTCATGGCACTATGGTCTGATAATATACAGGGGATAACTTCAATTCCTTTGCACTTACTTAAACATGTTCTATGTGTGAGTATGTGGTCTATTTGTAGAATGACCTGTGTGCAGCTGAAAATAATGTTTATTCTGATTTGTGGGGTGGAAGACTCTGTAAACATCTGTTCAGTTCATTTGTTCAAGAGTTTGAGTTCTAGTATTTTATTGCTTATTTTTTGTCTAGTTTATCTATCTGTTTGTGACAGTGGAGTATTGAAGTCCATCATTATTATTGTATTAGGGCTTATTTGATTTTTCATGTCCATTAGTATTTGTTTTATATAGTTGCATGCAGTAGTGTTTGGTGCATACATGGTTTTGATTGTCATCTCTTCCTCTTGGATTGTTTTACAAGGATGTAGTGTCCTTCTTTGTCTCTCTTAATCACTGTTGGTTTGAAATCCACTTGATCTGCAAAGGGGATAACTACTCCTGCTTTTTTTCGGGTTCCTTATGCACGGAGTATTGTTTTCCACCCTTTAACTTTCAGTCTATGAATTTCTTTTTGAATTAAGTGTGTTTCTTGAATGCAGCATATTGTTAGATCTTGCTTCTTAATCCATTCTGCCAGTCTATTTCTTTTCACCAGTGAATTGACACCATTAACATTAATGGTTATAACTGATATGTATTGACTTATCATTGTCATGACTTTTTCTTTTTGGTGGATTCTCCCCCTTTGCATTTAATTTCTTGTCGTGCCTGATGGATTTATTCTGCTGGGCTTCCTGGGGTTGTGATCCTCATTTTCTTTTCCTAGGATATTGTCTGAAATTTTTTGGAGTGCTGGTTTGGTATTAGTGAAGTTTCTAAAGTGCTCTTTGTTATGAAAGTATCTTACTTCTCCATTAATTTTGAAAGATAGTTTTGCAGGGTACATCAACCTGGATTGGAGGCTGTTTTCCTTTAGGGCTTGAAATATGTCACTCCAAGCTCTTCTTGCCTTGAGGGTTTGCATTGAGAAGTCTGCTGTGATCCTGATGGGCTTTCCTTTGTATGTGATTTGTTTCTTTTCTGTAACTGCTTGTAAAATTTTGTTCTTCTGTTGAGTTTCTGGAATCTTAACTATTATATGCCTATGTGTAGATTTTTTTTTTTGATCAAGGCTAGTTGGAGTCCTATATGCCTCACTTATCTGTATTTCAAGTTCTTTTCCCCTGCTTGGGAAGTTTTCTGCCATCACTTCTGTGAATGTTTCTTTTCTGTTGTCTGCACTCTCTCCTGTTTCTTCCTTGACTCCAATCAGTCTTATGTTATTCTTCTTTGCATCATCTAGCACCTGCCAGATTGATGTCTCATGGTCCCTTATTATTTTAAAGAAATTTTTCTTTTCCTCATCACTAATTGCAATCTTATCTTCTATATCTGAAATTCTGTCCTCACATTGGCTCATTTTGCTGTGTAGACTTCCAGTGGAGTTTTTCATCTCCTGGAAATCTGTTTTATGGATTCCATTTGTTTCCTATGTTGGGATTCCATGATGTTCCTCATCTCTTCTATTTTTTTAACTGTATCCCCTCTAGTTATATTAATCATGTCTTCCATTATGGGCATAATCTCTGCTGTTATCTGAGAAATTATTTCTGATTTCATTTTTTCTAGATCCTTTTTTGTTGCCGTTCAGGGAGTTCAGGTGGTTGAGTGTAAGATTGTTCTATGTTATTTCCCTTTGGGGTTGCTTTAGGTGATCTGGAAGTCTTGTTTTGAGACTTGTTTATGTGTCTTCACATTTCAAAGTCGGTGGGGTGAGGGGTGTGCTGCTGGCACCCAAGTGGCTCACCTCCTCGGCACTGGGGGTAGCTCTGCTCCTCAGCACTGGGGGCAGTGGTACAGTGGACTGGAAGGTTCACCTCCTCTGTGCTGGGTTATGCCTCCATTCATTCAGGAGACTATGAACAGGATAGTGTGTCCAACCCTGATCAGAGCTACTGATGCAGTGTGACTGACACATCAGAAAAACCACAGGATCTGCAGGTCAAACCAGGTCCTTGTGTTATCTGTGGTTTATCTCTGAAATATATGGAATAAATGTACATCATTTACACAGGATCTCAATACAAACACATTCACACACACACAAATAAAAATAAAATAAAAATATATATCCAAAATGTATATAGCAATGCTCACTTTTATTATATACAGTACATCCTGGCATTTTTTATTGTTTTACTTTTGTTAAAAAAGAAATAGCGGTCACATCCTTCCAACCTGATTTTACAACCCAAGAGTGCACTGCAAACTGCAGTTTGAAAAATACTGTTCTTGATAATTCTCCAAAGCCCAGAAGCCGAGGGTGCTGGTGTACTGCCTACCCTATGACCTTGCTGAGAACCTCTACAAACCATCTGCTTTATAGGCTGAAAAGAACATTATCCTGGAAGAAAGGATCCAAGTCCTCCAGCAGCAAAATGAAGACCTCAAAGCAAGGATTGATCAGAACACAGTTGTCACCAGGTATGTGGGCCTGGCATCTAGGCTTAGAGAATATGTGTCACCCTGGAAGTAGCCTTGCCCTTGAGCTTTCTCTTGTCCTTGGTCCAATTTTCCTTACTCTGAGCTGAAAGGCTTCCCTGCAGTCCTTCAGCTTCGCCCAAAGCCAGAAGAACAGAAGTACACAGGTATAGCCACCTAGTCTATGCATGGGCTGCACAGCAGTCCTGCCCCCAGGAATGAGTACAGTCAACAAAAGAGCCAGTAGGACTTCCAACAGCACTAGGGGGTGCAAGGATTTATTTCTGGAAGAGATTAGGAGAAGAGCAGCGGTGGGATGTTCCCAGACAAAGTGGAGTCCCCATTGGGTGATACCCCCAGACTTCCAGAAACCTGCCACTTCCATTTTGGTCCTGCCTGTCCCTGTAGGATCTGCTCTGGGGAGCCCTGATTTCTCAGGGAGGGTGTGTGCTCTTCCCTCCTCTTACAGCTCAGAATTGGGTAAAAGTGTTGTTTCCACTTCCTCTGCCAGCTAGAGGTAATTACATCCACGAGGGCTGAGCCACAGGGGTGCACCCCAAGCTTGAGACCTGGCCCTCTCCACTGGACTGGGCTCCTGGGTGCACCTGTAGCATGTGTAGTGTGTCATTCTGTGTGCATACACACCCAGGCAAGACATGGTCATGTGCATACATTCACCTACACACACACTCATGCATGCCTACACTTATGTACACTAATGCATGCATGCTTCCGTTCACCACCACTCATCCCTACTCTCATGTGCCTTCATACTTTCAGGCTTACATGCTCATGCGCTCACACACATGCATGCTCCTGCACACACAGGCATACCACAAGTGAGGCCCCAGTGTTGACACTTTGTTCCCACCTCAGAGGCACACAGGCAGGGGCAGCAGGCGCCATCATCTCTGCTCCATGGGTCCCCAGGCCCTGGGCTGGGGATGACAGTCTCACCAGCCTTCCCCAGGCACAGTCTCTGAGTGGGAGAGAGTGCCTGAGTGGCACTGGACCCTGGAACTCTTTAAAGTGCTTTTGTCAGTGCTGGCTTTGTCTCAGAGAATTACTTTTTCCTGGCCTAAGTTTGCCCAGCTGTAAAATGTATATGTACTTGTATTTGTCAATTCTTTAAAGGTGCTGTTATTTCAAAAATATGCAACAAAGCTAGGAACTCAGACTTTATGTCAGAAGAAAGCACAAAAAGCACTGATTGGTTTTTCATTCATGATTCTTTATCAGCAAGCATTAACCATGCATCTATTATGTGCCAGGTACCATGTTGGCTGTTAGAAAGTCAATATACAGAGCCTTGGTCCTGACTTCTCGGGCTCACGGTACAGCAGACAGCCAGATACACAGACCAGCCTCTACATCAGGACAGACACCTGCTGTCACAGAGGCACGTGTTGGGGCGGGAGGCCGAGGAAAGGCATCCCCAGCTGCCTGCTGGCCACCACCTCCCTGTGCAATGGTCCCCAGGCTCCTGGTCCCAAGCCTGCTGGCAGCACCCCCACACCGCTGCCCACTACCCTTTCCTCTCCAGCCTTTGGCCTTGGCTCCGCCACTGAACAGCCTCTGACCCGACAGAGGACCTATGAGAGGATTTGGGGTAAGCAGACAGGCTCTGGCAGTGGATGTCTCAGCCGTCCGGAGATGACAATCCACCAGAGTTCCCGGTCTCCGGGGTACACTGGTCCTGTTCTGCATGCAGGCAGTGGCTACCTCCTGGCTCACCATGCACCCGTGGGCCTGATCTCAAGTTAAGTGTCAGTAGCATTCCTTCTGCTTGACTACTTGTTATTCTTCCCCATGCAGACAGCTGTCAGAGGAAAACGCTAATCTCCAGGAATACGTGGAAAAAGAAACCCAGGAGAAGAAGAGATTGAGCAGAACCAACGAAGAGCTGCTTTGGAAGCTTCAAACGGGGGACCCAACGAGTCCTATTAAACTCTCCCCCACCTCCCCAGTTTACCGAGGCTCCTCGTCCGGGCCCTCCTCTCCGGCCAGAGTCAGCACGATGCCTAGATGACGTCACCACGCAGTCTGCGGGCGCTCCGGCTTCTGTCCACCCAGGGAGTGCTGACCAGGTGCTGGCAGGTGCCGGCCGGCCACCCTGTGTGCATGCTCAGTAGCTGCATATTGTATCCTCTTCTGACCCCTGTGTAGACTGACCCGGTACTGGCACTTAGGAAGGTGTAAACAGTAATCTGACGTGCAGAAACGTTTTACCATAGTTAGAGCCAAAAGAAAGACAATTCCAGTTGTTCTTGAATGATGAACTTACACTGCAGCATTTCAGGTTAGTTACAAATAGCTCAGTTTTGAATATACATTGAGTAATCATTGTGTACTGCACCGATATGTGTATATATTTAGATATACATATATACACATGCGGCAGTTCTGAATTGCATTTTTTATAATGTGATGTGCTGACATATTTTAGTGAAGATCAGCAGTTTTCTAACTTGTGCCTAAGAATTATTGGGAAATGAAAATGCATTTCTATCTAACTTCCTAGGAATATTTCTACCCAAAATAGAAAAAGGAAAAAAAAATCCAGATAGAGAAGCGCCTTTCAACCTGCCACCAAGTGGTACTCTGTTTAACACAAACACCAGCGATTTGTGGACGGTAACTGCCTTTGGAACAATCAGCTTCTTAGTCAACATGACGTGAGGTCATTATCACTCCATTCACAAGATTTAATTATGAATCCTTCTGTCGCGACTGTAAGGATAGAAGTGGGAAACCCTAGGGGGTTGAGCAGTTTTTCTGAATGTTACTCACGATAGCGACTCATCTGTAGTCATGTAAACACAGCTTTGCTTTTTTTTCTAAATGTCATCTTGGAATCAGTCGCTGAGGTATTTTTGTACCCTTGGGAAAATGTAGACAAGCATGACCTTTTGGAGTGAGGATGAGGATGACTTTGGAGATGACCAAGACCATCATGTTCTATCCTCATGAAGGGGAACTGCCGATAAGGTACATATTTGACCAGGTACAGAGTTAGACAGTATCCAGCATTATTCCATTTGGTTTGCTCTGATATGATGTTGTGCATGGTCAACTCATTGAAATGTGACCCTCAGGCCCATATTTCATAGGCAACTCCCTTTCAATTCTGTTGTACAACTCAACCCCACCACTGCATATGGAGATGGCTCAGGGGTTTTGGCAGGGACTTCCAGAAAGCCAGCCTTTCTGTCCTGGGGAACCAGTTCTGAAAAGTGCTAGGTCATCACACAGCCTCTCAGAAACTCAGTCATACTTTCTGCTGAATGATCAAGGAACATCTTAGCCCTAGGAGGTTCTCCCAAACAGAGGAGCTGATGGAGCAGCCAGCCAGCTGTCATGAGCTACTGGACTGGCATTTGTCTCTGAAATGGTAAAATTAGAATGTGAAAGGTATTTATTTAGTGCTGTGCAAGACTAGGAGCATGTTACACAAAAGAAGTAGTTTTAACAGTCAATGGGGTGAGGATAATAATGTCTTTGTTTCCTGTATGTGACAAAGACCCCTGCACTTTTCTCCCTAAGACCTCTGAAAATCTTCTGAGCACAGGCCAGTCTTTGAGCATGTCCAAGGCAAGAAAACCCATGGAGCCTGAAGAAATGGCCCATGGAAGGGGTTGGCTTGCCTAAAGTTACAAGTGTGGTGACACAGAGGCAGATGTGGCCTGTGCTCCTCATGTAACTTGAAGTTGATCTTCCTGGCCTCAGATACACCTTATTTCTAGCAAAACTCCAAGGGTCTTGCTCATCCTGGAGACATGCCCAGTAGATACACATTGAAGAAACAATTATTTTCCTTTAGTGGCCCTGCATGATACTGTGATAATGCGCTGGGCATTCTCTTAGAGTAGTTCAGGCCACATCAACTAAATACACAATACTTTATTCTTCTAGCAGGTACAACCTGCAAACACAAGTTTGGTTGTAGCTTAGCTCTCTGAATTAGGACTGCTTCTATAACCGTGCCTGCTAAATGCAGTTACACAGCAATACAGACTTCAGTGTGATGTTAGAATGTGGTACAGTGTGTTAGGGTGTTGCGGTCAAAATTGTAGTGACGTTAGAACTAAGTAATCCCTCATTAGGTGGACTAGAGCCTTGCCCTGACTGGCCCTGACCTTGGGCACTTGAGCTACTTTCCATGTGGACCTGACTTTGATTTTTTCATCACGAACACCCATCATGTATGGCTCCCTGTCTAAGTCATTACTGCTCCCAAATCACAGGTGATGGTAGTTGCTGCACCTCCTCCTCAATACTTCTACCCCTCACTCTTAGCATCTTGACCTCTCTCAACGTAGAAATCCACCTGTATCTCAGGCTGGCGCACTGTATCGTCTATAAATGCTGCAGCCTCCCCGCCTGCTTCAGACAGACCCAGCAAACAGCACCAGTGTCTTCGTGCCCTTGGGAGACCTGGGCTGGCCAGTCCCCACCCTCTGCTTGCCACAGGCTGGCCCGAGGCTCTGGCTGGATGTCAGAATGGGTGGGATGAGGGGGGCTGGCACTCTCTGGGATTAATGGGATGAGTTCACAACGTTCCTTTTCCTGCCCCTCCAGTTTCTGTGTTGCATATTTGTATTTAACTCTGAAACCTATTAAAATGAACTTGAGGGACTTTCTGTGATATCAACCTGATGGAACTGGAGACTTGTCGCTGACCGGCTGGGCATTCCTGGCAGGGAGGCCAGGGAGGTGTTTCTCGGGCTGGGTTCCTTTTCTGTGTGCCCATGGGCAGGGTCAGGAGATTGTCACTGAGAGAAGACTAGAGACCCCTATATTTGCAAACTCAGCAGGTTCAAGGTCCCTGTATCTACCCCTTGAGGCCTGAGTCTTCAGCAGCCCACTCCCTGGACTTGGGGATCTCAGTGGCTCTTCTCTGCCCAGCTAGGGTAGGCTGGAGTTGGTTGGAAAGAGGACACAAAAAATTAAGTAAAATCCTTCATTATTTATTTCAAGTTCAGACCCAGGCTCTCTGCCCCAAAGAGAGTTTGATTTATCCACCTGTATCCGTTTCTCCTATCATGGCCCTCCGGGTGGGGTGTAGTATCCACCTACATCTGAGGGATACTCTCCGTCTGTGGCCATCTCTCCCACCCCCAAATGCAGCTGGGATACCTGTTCACTCATTTCAGCCTGAAAGTGCTCACTCACTCCCATCCGACCAGCCTTCAGTTTGGGCTGTGTGGCCTCAGTGTCCCACAGGTAGATTCCCAAGGGAGATCCCTGGGTTTGTAGTTCCTTGTGGTGGCTTTGTAGGGCATGAGAGTGGAAGCTACTTTACGTAAAGTGTGGCAATTCTGCCCTCAGGAGAAATGGCTGTACAGCCACTGTGTAGAACACACCTCCATGTCACTTCTTGACCTCATGAGGGACACCTCAGGGTACCTTCCCCCAATCATCTATGCTTCCCAGATTATCCATAGTGACAACATTGACAAATGCTTTTATCTGTCAACATGCCCCAATGTATTAGTTTTTTAGGGAATGTCTTGAATGCCCTCCACTTCCATGGTAGCCACTGTCCCTACCACCACCCTGTGCAGTACACAGGCAGATGTCAGCACCTCCATTTAACAAAGGAGCCGAGTGGTGACTCATTACCTGGCACACGGAGGTAACGAGATTAGTGCCAATTCTCTCCTATCCGTGGAGAACCTTCCCCTCTCCCACTGGTGATTTGCAAGAGGCAGAGAAGACCTTTGAAATCGACTCACTTGTAAACTTCTCTGCACCAAGGAACCTTAGTGAGCCCAGCTCTCCTGTGTGGTAGATTTGTATCAATCACCAGAAAGAGTGCTAGGGTGGAGCTGGATGACTTCCCACCAGGAGCTGGAGTTGAAGGTCATTCTCAAAGCTGGTGTTGCATCAGTGCATGGACATCAAGCAGTGACTGACTTCAGGTGACACCCTCCTGCCCTCTCATCCATGATGGCCAGGAGGTGAGGATCTTGTCCACATCTGCGACTCCATCAAATGTTTAAACATGTGCACAAACATCACCACCACCACCACGACCACCACCAAAGACTGGCAAGCTGCTCTAGTTGTGAAGACTGGGAGTTAGTTCATTTAAATCACGTTTGCTAAATATCTTTTAAAAGCTAATCTGCTCTCAAACCTCTAGCCCCAAACCTCATAAAAACAATGGGGTTTCTGAATGCCAGACTGTTCATTTCTCATCTCAGCATGAGATGTCTCCATTTGCATCTGGAAGTGTTTCCAGCACCAGCAGGGTAGGAAGGCTGTGCAGCACTAAGCACCTGTGTGTGGGACCCTCCCCTCCTAGCAGCCCCTCCCTCCTTTTCTCTTGGGCATTAACACCACAGACACCAGAGCAAGCTCCACTGCACAGCCACTGTGCCCACCTAGTGGTTTCTGTTTGCACCCGTTAAAATGGCAGGGAGTGAGTGAGCTGTTTCTCCACCTCCCCACTGTACTGGTGGAATCATGTTGTCCCATTACTGAGAATTTAAAAGCATTGCTGGTAAAGTCACCCAAGGCCAGCTCCTGCCTGCTTCCCCACTCATTCCTCAGTCCCCTGGGATTAGGTGTTTGGACTCACTGAGATGCCAAAGAGCTTGCTGGGGCTGTTCATTTTGTGAGCAAAGGCACTGCCTGTTTTACTCCTCCTGAACCCTTGCTCACCTTGCATTTTTTATGGCTGTATTTATGGCTTGGTGGACAGGCTTAATTTAGTAAAATTTAGTTTGAACAGGGACTGACAGGCTTATCTACAGTTGTTCCACCCTTCCCCCCCTGCAGCCCCCATGCCTAGGTCTGTGAAAGGCCAGGACGGTTTCCCTGGCTATAGTTTCTTAGGACTCTTGTTACCTTGTATGCTGAGCTGTTTGAGGGCAGCCTTTGATTCACCAGAAATGTTTCATAACCACATGGTGTGAGAAGGCTTGCTTCAAGTGATATCCCCTCGGGCCTCCATAATGGAATTACTCCACAGGGGTTGAGGGAGCCTCATCATTGTTTTCCAAGAAACTACTGAAAATCTGCAGCACTTCAAGCAGCCCACGCAGCACCCCAGGTCAGCCACTAGATGACAGTGTAGCGCTGTGGGAACCAGGGTTTCACCTTGCACTTGGCCCAAATCTGGTTCAATGACCAGAGGTCACCTTCTTACAGGATACAAGAGGTCAGCCAGGAATGTGGCATGCCCTATGCCTATTTTCCAATTCCAGAATGCAGGGGAACTCTGGGATTCTTTGTGAAGCCAGCCCATTCTGTAAGGTAGAGGCTAGACTCTGGTTCTCATCTCAAAGTTGTATCCATCGATAATGGCACTGGGGGTGGGGTGTCCTTGTTCCCCAGACACACTGAGGCTTGTTTCCACACCACCCACACTCTGGGGTCTGGTTCCCCAAGCGGCCAGAGAACAAGAGATGTGTGTAGTGTGCTCTGGTACGGATTCTTGTCACATAGTCTTCATCATAAACATGCCGGGTGCCAGGAAGACAGCAGCGGGCTGCCCTTCTCTGTCCAGCCGCCTGGGTGTCTGCCTCCAATGCTATCCATCACGCGAACAAACTCAAAGGTTAACCCTTATCTTCCAGGCAACAGGTCTCCCAGTCCCTATGGCTCGTGGCTCTCGGTTTTGGGGAATTATGGCCACCTCATTTAATCTGCTTCCTGTGCAAAAACTACTTTGCTCCGGAGAGCTGAGGAAGTGCGATACCAACAACTGCCAGGATAGCTACAATCCTTGTGCCCATGCCTCTGCTCCCTGCACACAACGTGTTTCCCCTAACAAATGACGCAATGTGTGCCAATGAGTGAGGGGGTCCAGCTGAGACCCACGTCCTTCAGGACATGCCTGATGGCCAGTGACCACTGGGGCCCCAGCTCCAGGCAGGCCTGGACCCAGGGTGGGAAGTGGGGGAGAGAGAGCAGCACAATGCCTAAAAGGAGGGTTTGAGGGATTCCTTGGTTGAGGTCCAAGGAGTTGGGATGAGGATTTCTCCCAATAGCCAGAAGAACACAAGGCCCTGTGAGTAAAGCCACCAGGTGGTGGGAAAGCTGGAAGACGCTGAGACTTTTGTGGCAGGGCAGGCTTGGGATCCAGCCAAGAACAGATAGAATTCCCGAGATTACACAGTACACCTGGAAGCCATAGATAGAATTTATTAGAATTTGCAGAAGCATGAGATAATGTACCAAAAAATAGTTTGATTTTACAACATAAGGTATGGTAGGAAGTTGTCAATTTACAAGTGTGGTCAGCAAAAAGGGGAAAGAGCAGTTTCACATTTTTTAAAGGTGATGGATAACACCTGCACTAGTCCTTAAAATAAAAATAAAATATAATAAATGGAGGGGCCCAGCAGAGACCAACGTGATTTTCCATTAGCATCAGAATCTAAATCTAGTATCACATTATAAGAAACTATAAAGAAAACTATTAGAAAAATAGAACATCAAACAAGCAAAAAATATCATAAAATTTACATAATAAAAAACACATAACTTTTAATAATGGCTCCATGTTCAGTAGAAGAAAAAAATGTACTAGAGAAACCACAGCTGTCCAGGTTTGATAATAAACCAACCCTCATTATTAATATGACCCTTTGTGATCCTTTACCCATTGTCGCTGAAAGGCACAACTGAAGCAGGAAACTTATCTGAAATATATATTATAACTTCTCACGTGGGAAAATAAGTCCCAAGCTTAGAAAATCTGTCATCAAGAAACACGAAATCATCATACGCCTTGTTAACAAGTTAACAAAGTCTGAACGCATCTCCCAGCCCTGCTTCCCGACCCTGCTGGAGGCGCTGATACCCTGAGAACATCTGCTGGGACTGTTCTTTCTTCTCCTGGAGTTGTGCCCCTGGCACACACACAGGACGACCACGAGAGCTCTTTGGTAACTGTGAGAGCCTTGGCTGCACCAGGTCCCTCTGGGAAGAGCCTGTGGTTCAATCAAGCAACGGGCACAAAACAGCTCTGGATTAGTGATGAACATGAAAGCAAGGTGCATTTTTTGCCCTAAAAATCCAGCAGGCATCATAACCACTGTGACATCTGGAGTGTCGCATCTTGCACCACTGCATCAATAAAGCACTTCATGGCCCCATAAAAGTCTGGCAAAATGTACATTTTGCTCTCCCTTGGGAGCCTTACATAGAATACTCTCAAGACGGCAAACAGGTAGAGTTTAAATGATACATAACAATTATACATAACACATATTCAGTTCTGTTTGAGTTTGAACTCTGTAACAGTTCCACACACGGTGCCATGCACCCTCTGCCCAATGACTCCATTGTCCTGGCAGCTCAGGAACCCACCACAGTGTGGGCCCAGGCATACTTCTCCATAGAGAGGGACAGGCACCCTGGCACCTAGGCCCCTCACTGTCTTTGTGGCATTGGCTCTTGGGTGCCAACAGAACCATCAGATCTTGTAAAGAAATGTGTCCATGTGAACAAGGAGCATTCAAGTCAGGCAAATGGGCCCTGGCACACAGCCAGGCAGGTTTTCTCTAGCATTGAGGTTAACATCTGCCAGTGCCCCTGCCCTTGCCTCCAAGTCTGGGTGGGGCCTCTATAGGGTGTATCCACACACCCCAGAAACCCCACTTCCTGCCTATTCTTCACAGCTGTCTCTAAGCTTCACCCCACCTTAGGCAAGAGCAGGATTACAGCCTGCTTGGGGATGGGGCAAGGGGACTAAGCAGCTATTCCCACCTGTTTCCCCAGCCACACAGATGAAGCACAGCAGATGCAATGGACAAGGTGGGGATAGGCCGCATGTCACCTCTGGGGTGCACTGTTGGTGGGGAGTGTGCCGGTGCCTCGGGCATGAGGGGTGGAGAAGCCTGGGAGCCCGTCAGTCACTTCCGGCTGCCACATCACAGGAGGGCGGGTACCCGAACCACCACATCGGCCAATGGGACCGGGTGGCTGACTGCCTGACAGAGATAAGAGACTCAATGGAAAGAGGTTTTGCTATTGCAAAAATAAAATCCAAACTGGGGGAAAATGTGGGCAATCCTAACAGTATAAATTTAGTAATCTTTCTGAATCAGCCCAGAAAAGAAAGTGTACCATTCTTTCCTCTTGGTTTGAAAGACAGTCTGACCCACAAGGGCCTGCTTAAGGGGTGTGTGTGCGTGTGTGTGTGTACAGAGGCCCCACGTCTCCTGGGACAGTTCCCTCCCTGTGGTGAGGCCCCCCACCTACTGGGGCTCTACTGCTGCCCTGGAGGTGCCCTTTACCCCCACTTTTTAGCAGAGTTCCTGGGAGACAGAGCTCTTCATGAATTGGGTTCCTCACGAATTTATGCCCAGAGACAGGAAAGATGCTTACTAATTGAAAACGTCTCTCTAAGGTGACTCTTTGGAGCTGAGGCAAGATGAAAGTGTATTCCTGCAGGATGTGTGTGTCTTCAGAATGTGTAAATTCTGACCGCAGGAAAATACTGTCCCAGCCACGCAGCTCTGAATGATATTCTTATTTGGGCAGAGGGTTAAGACAGGTGAAACTACTGGTCACTGTTGAGGCTTAGGGGAGGGAGGCTGTGTGTTTTTACTTCAGGAGAAAGAGTGAGGGATGCAATAAGAAAGTATATTGAATTTGTGAGGCTTACTCCAAGACATCACCGTCCTGGTACACAGGTGGGAAGGCCCCTGGCCACAGTATGCACCTGTTCTTAAGGAAACCACAGTGACCAATAAACTATTCACATAAGTCACCTTTCCTAGGTGACTAGGAAGTCATTCTGCCAACAAGGGAGGATGCAAGAATCCCACATTCCCCCTCCTAGTGCCTGTGTGAGCTCCTATGTCCCATGCTGAGGCACCTGAGAGGGAGAGGAGGAGGGATCTCCTATCAGCATGTCCATATGATAGAGTCCATGGAGGGGTAAACCCAAAATTTATGTTTCAACTTTCTAGAACAATGCAGGTTGCTAACTGAATGTCAAGTGTAAATAGACTACTGGGTGCTGTCTTGTACAGAAATTTTAGCCAGAAAAAAATTAAAGTTAAGAAAAAAACAAAAATTTTCTCCCCATTACCTACCTCACTGGATACCCTCTTTGCCTTATATTTTCTTTGTCTGCATAGAAAAATAACCACAAAAAATCAGGCAAACAAATAGCTGTTGTAAGAAGACAACAGATAACCAAAACCCAACAAAATAAGTTAATATTTATCGAAATATTTTATAGCACCAATCTACATGAATTTAAATACATTTCTTTGGACGCCCAAGCTTGGGGTGGGCCTTATGATACTCTGTGAAATACAGCTGATCTTTAGAAAGCTTCCAGCCAGAGGTCCAGGTCCGGTACAAAGGCCCGGCTCTTGGCCGTGTGGCCACCCTCTTCCGGCTGCCCAGACCTCTAGGCTATTAGACTAATTTATTCGCTAGCACTGAGGGTGAAACCCAGAGCCTTGCCTGCCACCAATCCCCATCCCCAGCTCACTTTCACTAACTCGTGCATTTCTCTCCAAGAACCTTCTGCAGCAGAGGGAAGAAGCCAACTGCCCCCAGGCTAATTGTATCGAAGGCTAGGCAGGGACAGAATGGAAGGCTAGGCTTCAAAAGCACCACTTTCCTCCCCATGGTGTCTCCCTCACCCCATCCAAGCCAGTCTTGGTGGCTCTGAATGGTACTCTATGTGGAAATGAGGCTCCATCTCTTCTGTCTCGTCCCATGGCTTCAATCTACAAGGAGTGTTAGAACATGCTGTGGGCTGTGGGCCGCACCTAACTACAGGGAAGAGGAAGGGGTGCAGCGTGTACACAGAGGGACACTGGCATCCCAGCTAGACCTACAGCTCCCAGGCCTCTGGAGGCACAAGGTCCAAGTCATGGATACAATCTCACCAGTTTATCAAGCCACAGCCCTTGGAAGACAGATACATGAGAGGGACAGCAATAGGACTGCAAGTCATCTCCCTTGTGGGCCACACAGCCTAAACCATGTGCCAATGGCATGTGGAACTATTTGGCCATTTGTCAAGTTAACGTTAGGGCCCAACTTAACTGGGTGGAGTGATTCATGGCAACTAACAGGAGGATTCCATTTCATCACATGTAGCAGGCCACATAGGCCATGTCGGGGCCAGAAGCATCACGACCCCGCACCGGGTTGCCACTTGTCCTGAGGATTTTCCAAGACCCGTGCAACTCAGTGAATGGCAACGACCCAAGGAAAACAGGGTTCTCGGCTCTGCCAACTTGAGACCAGTGCTACACGAACACAGCCTCGTGTTCCAGTTACTCAGAACACACAGGCAGTGGTGACAGACAAAAAAGCATCAGGGACTGTCCCAGTCCTGGAGGGAAGAGGACTAGAGAATGCCCCCGGTTTATGCACACACACACACTCACACACTCACTCACATGTGAGCAGTCAGCCCTCCCCCACCTTGATGCTCCTGCTCCCACAAGAGCCTCCCCTCTCCCATGCGAAGACAAATCACCTGCCCTCAGTCCTGCTGCTGTGCCACGGAACGGGATCCACTCATCACCGAGTCAGAGCAAAGCCCTGCTTGGAGGGGAGATGGTGGGGAGAAGCCCCATCCTAACAACCCATCTGGAAGCAACTCAGAGGGCAGAAGTGGCTCTGGGTATGGCATAGCCGGGGTTTTGTGCTACTCATCGTGATCTATGGCCAGCTGTTCAGGGCTGAAGGGGAAGATGGCTGCTAAAGATCAGGGGTCTGTACATTTGCAATACCAGAGCAGTCCAGGAAGGGAGGTCTGTTTCCAAGGCAGGAGACAAGGGATCTCCCTTCTGCCCAGGGGTGCAGCAGCAAGGCTGAGCTGATGAGGGGAGGGGTTTATTTCTTTGTTCAGAGGAAAATGAGGAGACAGGTGCCCAGACACAGCCAGGTGGTCTGGGCCAGAGAGCTGTCAGAGGTGACCAGGGCCTTGTGAGCTGGCTGCAGGGCCAGGGCCAGCCAGGCACGTTGGCTGTGGCTGAGGCTGGAGTTTAGCTGGCTGCACCTTTGGTGTCATTGGAGGTGTCACAAATATGGGTGGTTTCTGTTGCATCAGGAGAGAAAGGGAGGTACCTCCCTGTCCTCTACAGCCATCCCTTGGGGCTGCTGCCACCTCCGGCGGGCAGGGCTGCAGGTCATTTGCACTGGTCCAAATTGCCATCTGTAGTCCTTGCCTGGTCAGCAGCCAGGGATGCCTCCTCACTGTGCCACAGCCCATAGCCGAAGTAGATGCTGAAGCCTGCAAGGCAAGACAGAGAAGAGCCATGAGCAGAGCAGGCAGTGCACCCCGTATAGGAGGCTGGACTCAGAACCAGAGGGCTGCCAGGGCTGCCTTCCACAGCTGTAGAAACATGGCTCTTCAAAGTTCAGCCAAAGTGACAGTGTTGCTTCTACTATGGCAAAGCACGCACATCATTTCGGAGAGCCTCACATGGTGGCCTTCCTAAGCAGCCAGGTGGAGGCCATGAAGGGCACTGGGCCCTTTGGGCACTGGGCTTAACACCTGTCCACCCCGGAGGGCCTAGGAGAATCACAAAATCATGCTGCTTCCTGGTAAGATGGGATTTCCAGTGGGTACCAGAGGTCCCCAGGCTCTGTGCTTAGACAGTCTGCATGGGCCCTAATTTTTCTAAATAAGTGATAGTCACATTGCAGGAAACATTTTAGTGCCCAGAAATGTACTTAATACAAAAATCCACACCTCTGTTCCAGCGTTCAAGACTTTAAAGGTCTGTAGTGGAGCCTGGAACCTGTGCTTCTAACTACCCACTGAGGAATCACGAACAGATGGCCAGGGGTACCTTGTATAGCTGACACTGGACAGCCATGGATAGCAGGAGCCCAGGAAGTGACTTCATGCTCTAGAATATAAGGATTTGTATGGGAATAGTGGGAAGAGGTGTCCACTCTACCAAGAAGTGACCATAGTGAGCTGTGAGCAAGTCTGTCTAATTAGACATGGACTACATTTTGCTGAGAATGAGGACCAGTCCTGCGATTACAGAGCAGAGTAGCCCTCGAGAAAAAGTACCACTCATGAGCCCCAGGAGGCCAAGAGGCAGCAGCTATCAGCCCCATAGCATCTGAACCCATGGCTGAGGAGCTTGGCTAGGACAGTCCTCAGGGCCAAAGGTCAAAGCCAGTCCCCTTGGCATCAGTACAAGAACTAAGACACTAAGGGGAAGAATCTGAGTCTGGCCCATCCAGCCCCAGAGGGAGGAGGATACAAACAGTCATAGAGATGTTTACCAGCACCCAAGCAGCTGGGCCTCAAACTAGGTTGCAGCCTCCAAACGCTGTACCTACCCCTGGTCATCTACTATCAGAAGTAAGACAGCTGCTGTCCCTTTAAGAGCCCTGGCCATTCCTCCCCCAGGCTCAAAATTCTGTCTTTCTACAGAGAAGCCATGGGAGTCTGGATCCTGCAGCCCACAGACCAGGTGCTGGGCAGGTGGAGGGAGGCATAGCCTCTACTTTCCTATCGGGGGAAATGTGTGCCTTATTGACAGTACTCATGACCTTGTGCTCAAGCTCGGGCCTGATGAGATAACTAGCTTGGGCAATGGGCTATTAAGATGAAAAGGGAGGGAGGACCCACAATCTACTAGGAGTTTAAGGTAGTTTTCCTTGTGTTATGAAATCTTGAACAAGGGAGGTTCTATGACAGTAAGGATGCAGTCAAGTAGCAGGGAAGACAGATGAGCAATCCCTGCACAGTCTCAGAAGGCTGGGGGCAAGAGAAACAAGACTACTGAATGTGTTCGTTGCAGTAAAACCCATGACTCAACATACCTATCAGCATCCAGACTGCAAACCGGACCCATGTGCCCTGGTCTAGCTGCATCATGAGATAGATGTTCACAAAAATGCTCAGGATGGGGAGCACTGGCAAGAAGGGCACCTGCAGAGACAGAAGGTGGCATCAGATCTGACAAAGGCTGGCCAACCCAACATAAATCCCCACACTCCCAAACACATGCAAATCAAGTGGGAGTCTGGTTCTAAGCTACCAATTGTCAAAGTGAGTGTTCCATTCTAATTTTCCTCTGGTTATTCTCCTGCTAAAGAAAGGACTAGAAGAGGGGTTTCCATTTCATTTCTAAGGATGAATTATTTTCGTATTCGTACAATCTAAAAATACAGAAGCCTGGTCATCTCCAAGGCTTGGCAGTGATATGTGATGCCCCTGTGGGTGTACCCATCCCCTGAGAGCCAGGGGCAGAGAGGGGCCCACCCTGGCCTTCCAGAATCAGGCCCCTGCTCAGCAGGCCCCCTCTGGGCTGGTAGCACCCCATCCCATATTCCCTGAGATTGGCTGGCAAGAAGGCTCTGTGTGGAGCACCCATGCAGGGTTGGCTCCCAGCAGGAAGGCCAGATCTGTGGCCTACCAGGAGCTTCCCACAGGCCCATTAGGCCAAGCTGCTCACCTTAAATGAAAGCTTGGTCTTGCTCTCAGGCTGCCTCCAGATGATGCCCATGACCGCTGCACTGAGAAGGGTCGATCCTGTGACCACAAGGATTGCCCACAGCTCCCCTTTGCCTAGAGCCTCTCTTCCAATCACGGCCACAATGCATATAGTGATGATAAAAATAGCTAAGGGGGAGAAAAGAGAGAGTAGTCCAAAGTCAACCATTTCTCTAGTCTCCACAGTTACCCTTGGTTCTCCCTAAAACCTGGCAAGAAGGTGGTACCGACTACAGTTACAGAAACACTGTTGTCAGTCACAGCCTGGTAACAAAACAGACACTCATCTCCAGCAACATCCCCTACTCCACTTCCATGCCCACTGACAAGAGAATCAGCAATGCCAACAGCAAGACCCCAAACCCTTAACATGGAAGAGTCAAGCACTTACCTATGAGGCTGGCTGAAATGTTCACAATGAGTCCAGATAATTTGGAAGGCTCCATATTTTTAGGTGTGAGTATGCTTTTCAAAGATAACTTTTCTGCTTTTGGTAAAAAGCCTGTCTGGGAATCGCTGGTGCTCACCAGCTCATTCTGGTCGACTTGATCTAGCTCATCAGTTGTTCTGGCCATTTGGTATACCAGGTTAGGCTGTTCTGGCTGATACCTGTAAGGAAATGGAGGGTATGTGACCACTGTAATATGCTTGCATTAAGCAAAAGGACATGCACCAGTTTAAGTTCTTAGAAAGCCATCAGAGGAAAACTGCCTGGGACACAAGGCATAAAATAGGAAAGAGGGAGTTGAAAGGGTAAGTCTCTAGCAATGCAGAGGTGGAGGAGGAGACACCTGAGTCCTCCTTCCTGCTTCTGGGCAACACCCTCGCTTGATGTCCCTGTTCTGGGAGGAGCATAAGCTCCACTGTGAAGCAGCCTAGGGCAATGTCCTGAGAGGATTTCTTTTGCTCTGTGAAGCAACAGTGGCCGTGGAATGTTAAGGTATTAGGTCACTTCCCACAAAACTATGGTCACAAGTGAGCTAAATGAAAGGCCAGAAATAGAAAGCAATAATACTGGGATCCTATTTGCTGCAGTGAGCTAGAGAATTGTGTCCATAGGCTGATGGATTTGAGATTTTGTGTGTGTGTGACATAATTTGATCAATTTAGTCTAAAACTTCAAATGGCTTGGAGTAAATAACTCTAGAGCTGGGTGAAGGATGTAGCCTGTGGCATTATTTCCAAGAAACAAGCTGCCTGCAAATAAAGCATCTGTTTTAAATGAGATGTCTCATCTTCCAACCCAAAATGAACAGAGTACAAATCTTCTCCACTAGCTTTGAAAAACAAAGTGCTTTCTGAATTATTTTTCGTAACATCAACTTTAACAGTGACCCTAAAAACAGTTAACCATTTTTGCACTGATTCACTTGTGTAACATGACTCAGTCAGTTAAGAAAGTGGAGACACCTCAGAGAACACTCTAGTGCTCAGCCTGAGGAGAGATGAGGAGCCCACCAGTTTTGCTGATTCTACAGAGCCACTGCTCAGGCTCAGCCTAAGTTTTATTAAAGTAGGAGCTGAATACAGCAGAAATGGAATCAGCGGCCTTGAAAGTACAAATTCCTCAAAAGAGATAAGAAGGCTCTTGCGGGGTGGCCAACACAACAAATGCTATTTCAGACCATCCCTAAAGTGGAGACCTTTCCGCAGAGCAAAGAATAATGAGAGTCTAGGCGCATGCTTTGAGAGGGTGCCTGGAATGGATGAGAATACCAAGACACCAAGTCTAAGACCAGGAGCTGCTTACTGTTTCAAAACACAAACAGCCAAAACCTGTAAAATGTCTGTGAACCTCACCTAGGCCATTCTGCACCGTAGACCAGGATTCATTCCCCCATCCACAGGGAAACCAGGCTACCGAAGCATCATACTGACCTAACTGCACAGGCCTTGGTCTTCCAATTTCCTCCAAGTTCAGCCCCTAACCCCCTCTGGACCAGCCACAGCCATTGGGTTACCTCAAAAATTGTGATCCCAGGACTCAGACTCAACAGTGGAGTTGAGAAGCTGTTATCTTCCTAACAGCTAGCTGGAAGTATAAGGGCACATTACAGAAGGAAGTAGGAGTGACCCTTGACTCTTTTCTAGTACATCCTCCCAACCAGGCTCTCAATTACCACATCCCATCCTCTCCTTGGGACCTCCCAATGAAGCTATTACCAATGTAAAAGTTACACAGCGACCGTGGCATACTTACGTTTGTCATGGAGCCCGGGAAAACTACACATACCTTAAGACCAATACACAGGCAGCCACCAAAGAGTAAGCCAGGAGAGTGCCAATGGACATGAGGTCCACCAAGTCCTTCAGGTCAAAGAGGAAGGCCATCACAGCTAGGAAGAGAGACATCGGGATTTATGAATGGTCCTCTGCACACATCAATAGCCAGGACCACTGACTATCTGTGGCCCAGGGTATCCAAGGGATGCTACTTATTCCCAGTCCAACCACCAGCCTTTCCATGGAAAAATACTTCTTTCAGGGAAGACAACTTCTGGGTTAAAACACACGCACAATCCTCAACAGACAATAACAATAATAAATATTTATATAAAAATACTTTTATTCTTTTTTGATCCTCACAACTTTGCAAACCACACCTACACAATAGATGAAGGAATTAAGTTCAGACAGGATTAAAAACCTTATCCCAGGTTAAACAAGCTACAAACAGAAGAGCCAGGATCCACCCACCCATCTATTCTCCATCCACTCAATTATACATCTACCCAGCAATTCATCCATCCATCCATCCATCCATCCATCCATCCATTCTCCATCCATCTTCTACATATGAATCATCCATCCATCATCTATCTAGCCACTGCCCATCCATCACCCACTCACCCACGCACCTTCCATACAACACTGATTGAGAGTGTGCCAGTCCCTTAGGGTACGCACTATTAAATAAGGGAGACCGCAGTCCCTGGCCTCACCGACAGTATCTGCTCCAGACATATGCATCAATAGGTGACAGTGAAGGGAAGGTGAAGGAGGGCAAATCTGGTTGTTACAAGGCCTCAGAGGGGCTCCTAACTCAGACAGGTGAGTAGGGAAAGCAGAATTGTTTTTCATATATAAAGTCACTTCACAAGCAAGACATCTGCAGAGCTATCCCCTAATGATATCAGCCCCTTCACACACACACACAAGCTTTATTTTTTGGGGGGGGTGGGGGGTACCAGGGATTGAACTCGGAACCTTGCAATTGCAAGGCAGGCGGCAGAACCACTGAGCGAAATCCCTGGTCCACACACACCAGCTTCACGGATTAAACATGCATGCTTGAGGTAAGGGTGTAACTCAGTGGTACAGCACTTGTCTCATGTGCAGAAGACCCTGCGTTCAATCCCCAGCACTGCAAATGATGATGATGATGTATACATGTTGATTTGAAAATCTTTTTATAAGCATACATGCTTCTATTTATGTTGATATGTATGTCAAACTTCACATTTAAATAATAACTTGGCAAGTCCTACTTTAAAATATTTTCAAAACACATGGAATTAATACAAGTTAAAACATACACATGAAACCACTATTTTTCCACAAATATCTCTAAAGCCACGCTTGATCACTACAAGTCAAACACACTTAAATTAAGGATAAATAATATGATTAAAGAGTAATGAAGGCCTCTGGATAATTAGAGAAGTATCCTACTGTGCATGCCATGAATGCCTACATTTCTCTTCACAGAGAAATCCGAAACAAATTTCTTCCATGTGAGGAGATTTTAGAAAACCAGAAACTTGTATTTCCACCAAATGAAAAGAAAGAGCAAATCCTTGGTTTGATGAATGGCATGTACTTTATAATCACTTGAAAGATTACAGTTCAATCTCCTTTTATTGGCACAGAAAGGAAATTGAGGCTAGTCTTTAGGATGACCAAATTACATATAAACACTAAAAAAATTTACTATTTCCAATTACTTAATCCCTTAATTATGCTGCATATATTCTAACATACAGCACCCTTCAATCTGAACATTGTGATCACTCACAAAAGTGGAGAATTATTCCAAAAACTTGTTACATACATAAAAATTGCTTTCTTTTTTCTTATAACAGTAATCCACAAAACTAAGCACACATGAATAATTAGTTCATTTCAGATGGTTGAGGGTCACTGTGGTGTACACTGTGACTGGTACCCCATGCCCTAATTTACTAAAAACACTCACCACTGAACTCAGACCCTGGAAGAAACCTGGCTGCTTTTGGTATAACACAAATCGGGAATCAGGAGCTAGCTCTGCCCTCTTGAGTGTGCATCCTCTCTGCGTCTCTCTTGCCTCTACTTCTCCACTTGTACAGTGGGCTGGTTCCTGGTTCTTGGGGCTCTAACATGCAGTCACCAAACAAGGAAACCTAAAACAGTACATAGCAGTGTGTATGAGCTCCACCTCAGCTCCCTATTTCCTTCATCGGGGATGCTGGACCATCACACAGCTCAGAGCTCTCCTTCGTGACTTCACTGGTCCTCTCAGGGGTAAACCTGACTAGAAAAAGAAACCTCCTCTAGGTGTGCTATTATTTATAAACTCAGGGGCAAATAGCACCCTCCACATGCCCTGTGGAATTGGTGGCACATTTTATAAAACACTGACTGTGAGGGACACTCATTTGCTAGAGAATCCAGGAGTGAAGATATGGATTCGCAGGGACTAACCAAAAGTCCCACTTGGCTTGTGTAATACAAGATGTCAACCTGCTGAAGTGTACTCAGGGAGATGTTCAAACGGAGAAAGGTGGACGGTTTAAAGGGACAGTGTGTGTTTTAAGCTCTATCTGTGGAGAGGGTAATGAGTTCAGACTCTGAGAATTCCATCACATCCTCTGTAAAACTGGCTTCTCTGTCTTTTGTCAGAGGGGCAGTTATCTTTCAAAAATCAGGTTCCAAGTGTAAAAACCAAGGGTTAAAAAGGCAAATTACAATTTCTCACAGAGCTGCCCAAGTTAAGATGTCTCCCTGAGGAGTGATAACTGTTGTTAAAATACTGACAGATGAAACTACAGTAGTTCTGGTACTTACCAGCAATAGCACCTGAGGCTAGTGTGGCGATTACTGGTGTTTTGGTTCTATCATTGATTCTGGCCAGAAACTTAAACAGCAGTCCATCTTCGGCCATGGCGTAGATAACTCGTGGCATGGGAAACATGGAACCTAGAAGACTAGGTGGGAAGAAAGGGCAAAATGCATGAGTGAAACTAGCTTATCAGGACCAGAGGCACCGAATGAGACTATGTATGGTTTACCATCGAAAGGGGTCAGTTTCTCATCAAGAACTGGTTCTTCTCCAAACTGTGTAAATCCCCCATCTATGAGACTCAGTACTTGGTCTATCGACCCAGAAAAAACACATACTCTTAAGTGTGGACAAAGGTAAGCTGGGCACATAGCTCAGTGGTACAGTGCTTGCCTAGTATGTGCAAGGTCCTAGGTTCAATCCCCAGTGCTTTACGTGTGGATAAAGGTAAAGAAAAGGGAACATCTATGTTAAGTTGGCACGCAATCTAGACATAACTGAATGGAAAGGAAATTTTGTATTTATTCTTATAATTATGTCTAGCTGAATCAAACAGGAAACAAAAGCATCATTGCATTCACAAGGATTTCTCTGTGGGAAATTAATAGTTAGCAAGTAGCTCCTGTTTATACAGGTTAGCATCAAATACCAGTAAAAGGTTTGCTTTTACAAAGTAGTCCCTCCTTTACAACCAAATTAAGGGCCAGAATATGGTGGTCAAGAGAAGGCCTGGACCAGAGGTCAATGGTTAGGCACACAGAACCTGTCGCTTATTAATCAGATCACGTCCAAAAGGTGGTCCTGGGAGCTTAGTGGTAAAAAATACGATAGTCTCTCTTTCTCCATGGTTTAGCTTTCTGTCGTTTTAGTTACTTGTGGTTAATCACAGTCCAAAAATATTAAATGGAAATTTCCTGAAATAAACAGTTGAAAATTTTGACCAGCTTTTATTATAATATATTGTTATAACTGTTCCACATTATTATTAGATATTGTTCATCTCTTACCCCAGGCCTATGTTGTAAACTAAAGTTCATCACAGGTATGTATATGTTAGGAAAACATCTTCCACAGGGGGTCTTAGAGTAGATCTCCCTATAAATGGGAGAAACTACCTTACTAGTAATACAAGTAACCCTTGGGATTGATTAATAGCTACAGAGCATGGGAAAAGGCACACATCCAGAGTTGTTGCGCTGGTCTGAATGCAAGGAGAAAAGGGAGCACCAGGCTGTGTACCGCTTCCCACTGGCCTCGCTAGCCTGACACCTTCAGCAGAACCAGCCCCATGAGGAGTGAGGAGTGGCACTGGGAAGCTGCTCACCTGGTGGAAAGTGCACAGAGAGAACCGACAGCCACTGCATACTTGGCACCTTCCCAGCCCACATGCTTGAAGGCATCAGGCAGGGGGCTGTTTGTGTCCAGGCAGAAGTAGGGCATCATGAGTGTGAGAGCAGCAGACACTCCGAAGTATGCGATGAAGCAGATCAGAAGGGATGCAACGATGCCCACGGGGATGGCCTTTTGGGGGTTCTTGACTTCCTCACCTGGAATGAGCAAGAGTCAGATGGCAGGAGCCACTGCGCCCACCCACACAACATCAAGGACAGCCACCCGAGAATGTCCAGCCTGCAGGAACTGGGGTCTGCAGCTTCCTAATGCAGAGGAGGCCCTTGGTAACACACCATAGGCAGCCCCAGGGGGCCCCAGTCCTGGGATGGCCCTCCACCATTGCAATAATATCCAGCTAAGGGAAAGACTTGTTTCCCTTGGCTGAGAACATCCAGGAAGCTCAAGGGAGCCCAGCCTATTCAATCAACCAGACTGACATTATTTTCAAAGTTCTCATTTCTCCCAGATGACACAGGAGGGCAATCAGGCTGGAGCCATGCTGTTATTATCCTGGTCTAACACCAGAGACCAGAGCTCTTAGTTATGTTCAAGACACAGTATCCTGTCAGGTACCACCACTCCGGGAAGTGATGAAAGAGGTAGAAGGAGATCAGTAGCAAGCTGCAACTCCTTACATTATTGGCATGTGCAAGAGTGGCAACTGGAGCAGGAAGTGAAGTTTTGGCTATGGGTAGTAGGAGCCTCTCATGTCTTCCAGGCAGGGGGGCAAGGGAGTAGTGGGGGGCAGGGCATACCAGTGGTAGCAATGCAGTCGAAACCCACGAAGGCATAGAAGCAGGTCGCTGCCCCCGAAAGGACACCAGAAAACCCAAAGGGCATGAATCCACCAACACCATGTTTCTCTATTTTTGTGTCACTAGGAAAAAAAAAAAGCCACAGTCAAAGATCGCAATTAAGCGCAGCACTCAAGTCCTGAAGAGAAGCAATACCAGATAGTCACCCTACCCTGTTAGGGTGCTGCCAGGCCCAGGGGCTTCAGACCCTGAATCATGGTCTGACAACTCCATGGGCAGCAGGCCTCCCTGTATTTCAGGGCCCAGAGCCATGATGGCACATACTATCACTGGTCCAGAAGCATCTTGTACATAATGACTTGCAGAGAGAGGTGGGGGAGTGGAGGGGCCCGACCACTGGGGCTGGCCCCATACCCTCCTCCCCAAGACCTCTGGGGACATGGAGACACAAAGCTGCCACCCAGAGGCACCATCCCCACCCAACATCCTGTACTTATCAGAAACTCAAGGCTCCCACACAGAAACTATGGCTAAAAAAAGAGAACTGTTTTAGTCAACCACGGCATCTCTCAAGTGCCCCTACACAGGAGGTCAACAACTGCCGAGATAGCTATGAATAGAAACAACCGATTGTCACCTTTGATGGTTCGATTTCAGCAGCTGTGAAGCAGGAGTGCCTCGGGAGGCTGGAGAATTGCAGTTAAGAGGGAAGAGAAATGTGAAGACTGAATCACTGACCAGAGAGAGGAGCCTGGCAGAAGGGTAGTGAGGGCTAGATCGCATCTTAGTCATGCAGATGAAAGAAAATAAGAAAAACACACGGAAGAGGAGCTTTGGATGACTGGCTGAGGGAGGGGGCAAAGGAAAAGGCATCTTACTGGCTCTTCGGGACTGACACAAGGTGGGTCAGACACCCCCAAGTGGGAGCTTCTGGAGCTGTGAACCAGGTGAGCCAGCTCCCTTGACAATGGCATCCACTGCACCTGCTCCTTGGACCTCAGTGGAGAGATCCTGATATACAAAGGCCCAACTGCAGGGAGGGCTGGTAAGAGAACAAGGCCAGGGGCAGAAAAATGGGGGGGGGGGTGGTAAATACACACATTTGCTTGTTTTATATAGAGAAAAACTAGAAGCCTCCCCACCAAACGTGATGAAAAAGACCACTCACTGTGGGAGTGGGGCTGAAGTACATGAAGAAAGGAATGGGAACAAGATCTCTTCACGAAAAGCTCTTAGAAACATTATGACACATGAACTGTGTGATTATTTTATTTACTCAAAAAGTTAAATTCAACTTTGAAGTTTGGGAGTTTCTGATCTCGGTTACAGAGTATGAATGTAAAATATCTACAGAATGTACTCTACAGGGCCTTGAACTAAAACATTTAGAAATAGTTTTCAAAGGCTCTTCATAGGTAACCAACACTTTAACCTGGTGAATGGATGTGGTGGTGGGTCCGCAAGCCACTGGCTTGTCCAGGAAGGACTGGGGAAACTGCCCTGGTCACCTCCTGGCAAAGGTCAGCTCGTGACACAGTGGAGCTAAATCCAGGCTTTAGTGCAATACTCTCTCCTCTGCAGTTTGGGTGACCGGCCCTGCTGATTCCACTCCACTGGTCTTTAGCAAGGAAAATGACTGGCAAAGTAGGGTGCGAGAGCAGGGACAGGTCTCCCATGCATGGCCTGCCCCCATCCAGCTAGCAGTAAATGTGTCTTACCAAGCCTCCAAAGTAAGAGCAGCCACCTGCTACCCTGATAGAAGCTGTCAGTCACCCCTAAGAGCCTCATTTCCCCCTTTTACATAGGAACGACAGCCTTAGTTATTTTAGCCAGAAACATGAGCGGTGAGAATCAAGCCTATGCCTCTCAGACTCTAGATGTGGGCACAGCGATGGGACCAAAGCAGACGTGGTACAGGCATCTCCTGAGTAATGTGTGGGGATGAGGGCAGGGAAGGCGCTCTTGTACGCTTCCCTCTTCCTTCTGCTAACAGAAGCAGAAAGAGCAGCCACCGTGAGGCCAGGTAGTCGTGGAAACATGGGCCACGGAAAAGGCCATGAGATGGAAGGACTAGATTCCTGACACAGGCTATTGACCATGTCCACCGTTCACTGAAGAGAACTAACCCTTTATCTTATGAGATCAACATTATTTTGGAGTTTCTGTCCTAATGGATACACACTGTCGTACAAAACCCCATCAGACTTCCACATAGCATAAGTTTGTGTCACTCTTACTTCCCCTGTTATCTATTTCCAGGATACTGGATAAGAAGGCCAGAGGCAGCACAGGTCAAGGCAGGGAGAAGCCCGCTGGAACTGTAGTGTGATACTACAAGCCCAAACCCAGAGACAGACTAACCCAGGCTAAAAGGGTTCCCTGAAAGCCATGGAAGGAAAAAGATATCAGAAAATTCCAAACTCAGTGCAGGCAAAGCAGCCTCCCAATTCTGCAGGCTGATGCTCCCACATGATATATGATTTGGTCAGGAAATGCCCTGCTATTTCAGAGGGAAAGCAATTTCATGCAAGACTACATGGCTGTTCTCGGAAACACAAATCTACAGCTGGCAAAAACAAAAGCCATGTGCAGATTTTAATGAAATGAAAGAGCCAGCTATACTCCAGGCCTGCAGAACTTCACCTCTTCAAATGGCTGATCCTGAGACACGCCCCGCCCCACCCCCCAACAGCAGTGTCCCAGAACTTCGGTTGGAAATGAAGGGCCCCACCTGCGGCCAAAGGTCTGGGGTGACAAAAACCACCTTATCTGGATGGCCAGCACAGTTCAGTCAGTGCTAGGGCACTCAGTTCAAGGATGACTGGTGAAAACAAATACCACTGGAAGGCACAATCTCTTGATAGAAATAATGATGCTAACTCTCAACTGGCAACCAGGAAGCAAGAGGAGCCCTCAGTATTTCATTCCTAACCTGGGAACAGTAACTAGTAAAATCCACTCTCAAAGTTTTCAAAGTCTACAGCGGTACTTCAAAGCATATTTTGAGTTGGCTACATTGCACCTTGAATTAATGGGTACCAATAAATTTGGCATACAGAGGACTCTGGAATGCTTAGAAATGATACATTAAAAATCCTTGTTTCTCTGATACAGAGTTTAAGAGAGAAAGGCTTATTTTCATTCGAATTCAAGAGTTTAGGAGAGGCTTATTTTTATCTGAGTTCATAACCACATAATTGTAACATTAGTGAGATCTCTTGCATCTAATTCAACACTTTGCTGCTCTAAGGAATGGAGTGGTCACACACACTGCCTGTTCACTGATCAGAGCACTGGAGGAGGTGGCTGGACACCTGCCCCTGAACTAGTCACTGACTTGGTGGCTCTGAGGTGACTCCTGAGGTCTCCTGTCCCACACAGGGCAGCGAGACGTGGCCAGCCACTGAGCTGTCGCCAAGGGAATGCAGACAGTGGGACAGTGTATCTTCGTGGTCTCTTCTCAGAAGCCCTGAGTGCGCTCCCCTCCCATACTCTCTTTTCACTTCCGAAAAGCTGGGGCGTGCTTGTGCCCACAGGCTAGCACTGACCAGGCAGTGGAGGACAACACCGCTGATGTCAGGGATGAGAGAACAAGATGGAAGACGTTTGAGTCTCCAAGATGGCCATGACCGCATCTCGGAAGGTGTCTGTATCATAGCATTTTAGCCTTTGGCCTTGAAGAAAATAGAATCACAGACAAACCCAATTCCCCATTCTCCATCCTGGGACACGAAAACTCACCTGAAAATCTGACAGAGAAGATCTGACAGACAAATTACAATTATTTGGCTTTGTTTCCTACATAACAGGAGCATATTGGGGAGGGCTCCCTCAGGGGCCCAAGAGAGCCCAGGATAGACAGCCGGCCTTCAAGTGTCTCAACCTCTGAATGTCCTGAATCAGAAACATCAGGGTGAAGGGGCCTCTCCGTGCTCCACCAAATGGGTGGAAAGAGTCCTTTAGTAAAAGTTCCACCTATTGCTTCTTCCCTGTACATTACTCATGTTATAGAAAGGCCTTTTAAAATAGGATATCTTTTGAACATAAAATTTAAAGGTTGATCAGATAACCAAATATGAGGCAAATGATTCTTTAAGTAATGTGACAACTATTTGGAGTTGAAATGATGGTTTTGTTTTCCTGAAACCTTCCTTATCATGCAAAGTGCTGTCCAGTTCAGGGGAATAAATCTTAGCACACATTCCAAACCTGCAAAACACCCTGTGACTTCACTGCAGAAAAGCAAAGCAAAACAAATCAACAAAATAAATTTGAATTGTGTATTTTTAGGGCACATATTATCCTAGCCAATTATATCCCCAAATATCCAAATATGTGTGCATGGCACTAAATATCAAATATGGAGAATTGTCACATGCCAAGAGACAGAAGAAGACTCACTTGTTGAGACACAGATGGCTGGATGCATTCGAGATATCCTGTTCTGTGAGCTGCCAGTTTTTAATGGATCCCTTCACAAAGCCTGACACCACAATGAAGCCCAGGACCAGAACATTGATGCAGGTGAATATTTTGTTGACCATGGCTGACTCTTTCACACCAAGAGTTAAAAGTCCTGAGAAAGGCACAAACAAAAATCCTGAATGTTAACCACATACCAGATAGGTCACTTTGAGGATGGCAATGCGGATAGGAATAAGAAGATGACAGAAAAAGAATGCAAACAGTGTTGAACCTCCAAAGACATACATGACCCTAGTGGCAGGGACTTAAATAACTGAAGTTCATGGGGTGCTTCCCAAGCTCCCCGATCTCCTTGGGAATTGAGAAAACCACCCACAGAGCACCAAGGGGCTGCAGAGATCTGGAATGTGACAGTCAACCTCCTAGGGAGAGGAAGTGCCTGGCAGAGGACAGACAGGGCCTCAACATGCACAGGAAGCCACCCCCTCTCTTGGAAGGGACGTAACTTTATTTTCTCCAAGAAGGATATACCTGTACAGTTTCCTGGTAGAATGAGAGTTTTTCAGATGAGGAAATTATTCACATTTACTCTGGGATGTTAGTCATAGTGGCAGCAACAAGTGTTCTGGTTCTGAAACCACTAACACATGATTCCTCACTGGCCTCAGTGCATATAGAGGAATGTCTAAGCCGGGTGTGGTGGTGCATGCCCATAACCCCAGCACTCAAGGAAACTGAGGCAGGAGGATCACAAGCTCTGTCTGGGCAACTTAACAACTTAGAGAAACCCTGGTTTAAATTAAAAAATAAAAAGGTCTGTGGATGTAGCTCAGTGTGAAAGCCCTGGGTTCAAGCCCCAGCATATACACACACACAAAAGTCTAAGCCACATTAGCTCTGGTTTGTGAACTCACATTTAAAATCAAAACAAGACACAACAAAAAATCAACAAAGTGATAAAAGGGCACGGGAACCTCATGACAACATTGTCTTTGAGGAGTACCCACATTAGGGTGCTCGTGCCATTTAGGGACTTCCATGTTCTACAGTTTGGATTTTAAGTGTTTGCCAAGGTGTCTTCCCAAGGTGGCACGATTGGGAGATGGCGGAGCTTCGGGAGGAGTGGTCTAGCAGGAGGTCTTTAGGTATTTTGGGCATGTGCCCTGCAAGAGGACCGTGGGGCCCCAGTCCCTCCCTCTTCCTTTCACATTCTGGCCATGAGGTGAATGGTTTTGCTCAACCACGCGCACCCACCGTGATAGATGAGACGATTATCTCAGGTATGTGCCATTGTAATAGGAAGCTGACTAACACACATGGCTAAACTCTAGGGTGGGCATGAAAAGAGGCCAAGCACTACTCAAACAGTCATGATTTGAGACTCCTTCCCTGCCATGGATTCCTTCTATACATCTTAAAATAGAAACTGCTGTACATACTAGATTGAATTCTGAAATACAGATGTTAGAAGAGAATTGAGTAATTAATCGTGGGGTGAAGATGTCATCAGGCTCCAATATATTTTTTCTTTAGTGTCCCTCCCTCTCATGTTTATGAAAATGAGAGTCTCACTATAGTAGACCAAAATTATTTTCTGACACACATTTCTGCCAGCTAGACCAGAAATACTGCCAAGACTGGCCTGTGCAAAATTATTTCAATTACTCAGTGTGGAAGGTAAGGCATGTTGTTTTTAAAACTGAGCCAAGATTTTCTAGACTCAGATGAAAATTCATCAGCATTTCAGTCTCATGTACATATAGTAAAAGTTCCAAGAAGGAAAACTCCCATCTTAGTGGCTGAGACACAGACAAAGGTCATGAACAAGAAGATGGCATAAACTGCGTCAAACAATATCTGGAGTTTAAAAATTCTGTAGCCATGACTTATTTATTAAAAGGGTGTTTTGTGATTGCTCAGTGCACAAGCACTTGAGATGTCTTTAGACATGCAGGCAAACATTAATGTTCCAGACAGAGTTCAGCCCTCCACATGTTCCTGAAGGACAAATGACCATTTTCCTTTCCAAATGGTCATCCACTGAGTCAAAAGGATTTTTAGTCCTGAGTCATTTGTACAAAGAACCTTCAGTGCTGACAAAATCTCACTCCACAAACAATTATTCTCAACACCTGAGATTCCTTTTAATTAAATGGCACAGAACTCAGACAACTATGTGTGAATCTACAAGTCTTTAGGGCTTGGACAGATGAACAGAAATGTCTGCATGTCTTATAAAGACAAACAAAAAGTGTATGTGGAGGGGGGCTAAAGATAAGAAAAGAAACACAAAGGTCCTGGGAGTGTAGCTCAGTGGCACAGCACTTCCCTTGCATGCACAAGGCCCTAGATTCCAGCTCCAGCATAAACAAACAAAAAAAAGAGACAGACAGACAAAAAGGAAGCCTAATAGGAGCCTGTCATGAAACATTTACCCAATGCTCCAAACCAGTCTCTTTGTCAACGTGTGGCTTTACCTGTTAAGATGAGAATTATGATCACAGCAAGTATGTCAGGAGTTTCAGCCAGCACTCCGGGAGCATTCAGGGCCATGTGTTTTCGTGAGAACTCCCCGATGGGTTTGCCAAGCAGCTCATCAAAGGTTGCGCTCCAGGCTCTTGCTACACTTGAAGTACCTGCCACAAAACACACAGCTGTCATTCAAACAGTTAACAGAGTGGCTGTCACCAAGCGTGACATTTATGGCATCCACAAAGGGGTTCGCAGATGGCATAAATCCCCCCAGTGGCAGCCAGACCACTGTCAATGCTAAGCCAGTGGGAGCATCAACCAGTGTTTGGAGTGAGTAAAAAGAATAGATTCATGGGGCTGGAAGGAAATGCATTTTATATCTCAACCCAATATGTATGTATGTCGCATGTTTTGGATGTATATTTACCCTGATTCATAAATGTTCAATGTAGGATTTTTCAACTTTAAGATGATATGTAACAACATGCATTCAATGAAAACTGTACTTGAATTCTGAATTTGGATCTTTTCTGGGGTTAGCAATATTTGGTATGAACCCTGTCTCAGTGCTGGGCAGCAGCAGCAATCATAGCTCCCAGTCAGCCCCAGGATCGGAAGGGTTCACAAGCAGGCTATGCTGCTGACTAGGCTGTAGAGTGAGTCAGGGGTAGTGCTGCATTTCCAACTCACAGTAGTCTTATCTTATGATGGGTTTATCAGGGTATAAGCCCACTGTAAACTGAGAGACATTTGTCTGTGTATTAGAAAATTACGATTATATATCTATATATCTATAGATATATAGATATATATACACATAGCAAAACAAGTTTCCCTTTCCACCTAAGAGGTGGTACTGTGATAGCATTTATTCAATTCTAACTATTGAAAACTAGTAAATACTAGTGACAACTCAGAACTGATTCACATGCACCCCGGAGCACACAGTCAGTCTGGAGAAACTCTGCTTAGGAAGAAACTTTCCCAAAAACCCATGGCAGCAGAGCTTATGGTACCTGTCCCCAAAACTCCTCTCTGAGGAGATCTGTGAGGAGGCTGAGCACCATCTCGGGACAAAGCCACCACTCCTATCAGAGTAGCTATCAGCCACTTGCCACTCTGGGCCTAAACTGGGGTTCATATCACCTGACCCAGAGGGTCTCTACAGCTCAGGACCATAGTAAAAGCAGCCCCATTTCCATGAATCCCCTGCTCCCAGCCACAAGAGACACAAGCAGAGGCTGTACCGCAAATGGCCTCCTCTCTCCCTCTCTCTCATTTAATTCTGAAGAGAGCTATTGCTCTTCCAGTAGTGTTTGACAGGAAATGTCACTAAAATTCCAATACGTGCATATAGCATTTTCCTTTCTTTTCAAAAGGCCTTGCTGGTCCCTCTCGTCTGGAAGTATCCATAGAATTTTTCCAAAGTGATCTGAACAGAAATCTAATTTCATTATTTGTTCCTCATGCTAAGAGTTTTTCCAAAACTTAAAAATTTAACTATTTTTTTTTATCTCGAACAGCGATCTATTATGAATTTTTTTTTTTTTTTGGTACCAGGGATCGAACTCGGGTCCTTGCGCTTGCGCAGCAGGCAGCGGAACCACTAAGCTAAATCCCCAGCCCCTATTATGAATTCTTTCCATGAAGGCCACAACCTAATGCAGAAAAATGGTCTCACTGTACCTCTAAGTCACCCAGCTCACGATACTAGGACTCCCAAACAAGCCTGACTGTGCTGGATGCCAGGGGCTACCTAGCCTTTCTTCTTGGCTGATCCCCTTCCCATTTCTGAATCATGGCTTTAAAAAATGGCAGGAAAAATCATTCTTCCCAGTAGCTAACACTAAAAATAAATTTCCATAATACATGCATGAGTTTTACATAGGCAACTAGCATTCTGGAAAAGACTCCTTATGTGCTGGGTCTAGAAGCAGCAAGCATTTCATGCCAAATGTTTTGTTTTACACCCAGGTAAAACCTCTGGAAACATAATGGTCCATTTAGAATAGCCTCATTCCCACTGAGGGACTTCAGTGTGTGAGAGCCATTCGTGGTTACAAATTTTGATGTTCCACTGAAAAAATATCATGAATTTTATTTACAGCTCCAAAGAAGAAGCTCCATTTGCTCTCAGCAGACACTACAGTTGAGAAAAGAGAAGGTGCCCCACAGAGTCTGAGCACAAGTTCTGCCAGCTGCCTGGTGAAGTGGAAGTGGTGGCTCTTACTCAAGAGGTGAGGGCGCAGGATTTCAAGGTCCCTTCCTCAAACACTCAGAGCCACACATGGAGTACAGAAAGCACCCAGCGTCACACATAGGGCCGCGCAAGAGAACAGACAGAGAAGTGAGCAGGAGTCACATGGCTTCGGTTAGCACATCTCACAAGTTTTTGGGCAATATTAAAGAAAGCCTGATAAAAAACAAACTGTCATCTGTATTTCTACTTCTGTGAGGTAGTCATTCACATGCTCCGCCAATTCTTATATTTGGGTACTTTTCTCTTTTACACTGATGTGGCCAACTTCGGTTACAATCACAATACACAAAGCACGAAGAGAGTGAGAGCCCCAAGTTTTCATGGCACATGTCTTGACTGTATTCCTAGCATTCGAATCTATCCTTTTCCAATGTAGAGGGAACTTTTTTTTCTCAACACTAATAGCTAATAATATTGTACTACATTGTTATGAAGGAGTTCTTGTTTAATAAATGGATGAGAGACACACACAGCGAAAAAAAGAGAGAGAATTTTTACCTACCAAACTGAAGAGACTTTATTTTTGGTTCTCTGCTGCATGGCTGTTTTAACCCTAATGTCCAGCATTGGGAAGAAAGGGACCCAGGCCAGGATGAAAACTCAGCACTGACAAAGGCCTTAAAAATATGCAAGTGCTCTGACCTACTTATTTTGCTTTTTAGGTAGTTTTAAGGGAAAAAAATTATAGTCATGTCTAAAAACAAGTAATTAATTGTTTGCAATAATACCAACACATCTGGAAGCAATCTCGATATCCTGTAAGGCCATCCAGTAAATTATGCTGTTGATAAATTTATATAATGGGATGCAACTATTAGGACTATTACTATGGAAAAATAGCTAATGATAGGAGAATATAATTTCTTGCTTTATAAAAAGACACACTGTACAAAAATATAAATTCACAAAAATATTAACAATAGTTTTACCCTTTACAGTAAACTCTTATGAACTCTTAAGAGACTCTCTTACTCCCCTGTTTTACCCCTAACATCCAGCAAAATACTCAGCACAGGGGAAGCACTTAATAAATACTGTATTTATTAAAATAAGGAAAGAATGAATGAATGAAGAATATTCTCTGGGTGGTTGGGTTGGATATTTCTATTTTCTTCTTTGTGCTTTTGATTATATTTCCTAAATTTTTCTGTTGGTGATGTATTTAATAATCTGGAAAAAATACTACACAAATAAGTTACTTTCTAGTTACTTAGAAGCATCCTACTAATTCTGTCTTGAGTTACAGGAATGGACTCCTCACTGGCCTGTCTTGGTCCTCCTGTGCCAATGCTACAGTGATTCACACAGGCAGCACAGAACCTTTCCTAAAAGTAAAAGGCAGCATGTGAGGCAGTCAGGCTAAGAGGATCACTGGGGAGCAGGGCCACCCCTGGAGGTGGGAATGAACAGGAGCGGGTGAAAGGCAGGAGCTGCAGGCTGGCTGGGACCTACCGATGATGTAAGAGAGGATCAAGTTCCAGCCGGTGATGAAGGCCCAGAGCTCGCCCACAGTTACGTAGCTGTACAGGTAGGCCGAGCCGGTCTTGGGGACACGAGCACCAAACTCGCCATAGCACAGGCCGGCCAGCACTGAGGCCAGCGCGGCAATCAGAAAGGAGATGACAATGGCGGGGCCGGCATCCTCCCGGGCCACAGCTCCAGCCAGGACATAGACACCAGCCCCCAGCGTACTGCCCACCCCGAGAGCCACCAGGTCAAAGGTGTTCAAGCAGCGGGACAGCCGGCTCTCTTCCCTGCTGCAGTCCACCACCTTCCGTCGCAGCATCTGCTGACCAAGGCCGTGCAGGACTTTGCACCCCATCGCGCTGTTCAAGTCTGTCAAAAAGAAGAGAGAAAAGAACAAAGGTGTTTCACCACTGCCACATGCTTCCCCATTAACCTCATCATATGTGTAACTGGAACGCAGTGAGGAGGTCCTTTATAACCATTGCCTGCCAAGATGTCTTAAATTCTTAGCATTCTACCATCAGGTGCCAGAACCTAAGACTTCTCTAACGTGAACAGAAACGCTCCAGGAGGCCCATACACCCAGCTGCCTTTATTCTGAGGTCTCTGATCTTCCAATTTTTTCAGTTCTCAAGGGAGAACCTTCTATGGGCAGAAGTTGTGTTGTACAGGAAACACAAATTAATGACATGTTTCTACCCTTAGTAATCATAAAACTTACAGGAAAAACAAGATGTTATTTCAAGTATACTGTACTACAGTATGGTAATTTAGAAGGCAAACCAAACTGTACCTCAATTTAATTAAAATTCAGAGGGCTTGAATAGTAATAACAATACTTTCCAGATCTTTCTAAGATCTTGTGAAGGCAAGAACCATGTTTACCACTTTTAGGTTAACATCGAGTTGAATCCAGCACAGAAAAATGTTGAATTATTTCAAGTGAGGGCTTGTTAAAACTGTCAGTAGTCCAGGAAGCCCTCTCTCCTGCACCCAAGTATTGGTGCAGTGTGCTATATGACATGTTCTTGAGTATTCATGGAAAGATGAGACATGTGCACCCATGTCACATGGAACATGTCCCACCAGGTATACTGTGGAACTATGACACCTGGGCAGCTTTCAACTGCTTTAGTGTCACCTACACACCCACCTTCCCCAGGTGGCACTAGTGACACCTGGGACAGATGTGCCAGCAGCCACCCTCAGAGAGGAAGAGGTCCCCTCCTCACTCCTGAGAAACATGGTCTCATTCAGGAGATCAAGGTCAGCATCACCAGTGCAAAGCCACGCTAAGAGTACAATGGGACAGTGTTATAGTTGACATCCAGATGTCCCCCCAAGAGCCTCGTGTGCACATAGGTGGGGTTTTGGGAAGTGACTGGATTATCAGGGCTTACTGCTAACTCCCTGTTAGGAGATCCGGTCTAGTCAGAAGAGAATGGCCATTGGGGATCTAACCTGGAAAGGCTTGTCTCCCTCTCCGGCTCCTCCCCTTTCTCTCTGGTTCTGGTTGGCTAGGCCCCCTGTGTCATGCTATCCTGCCTTGGAGCCAGCAGACTATGATCTAAAACCTCTATAAATCATGAGCCAAAAATAAACCTCTTCTCTTTTAAGTTGTGGATACTGGGTATTGTGTCGCAGCAACAAGAACAGTGACTAGGACAGATGTGAAGGGCTTTTGTGTGATTCCTTGCTTCCCCCAAACCCATGATCCCAGTCTAATCATAGGAAACTACCAGATAAACCACAGCTGAGGGACATTCTACGAAACACCAATAGATACTTCTCAGACACAGTGGCCTAATGGATAAGGCATCAAATACTTCTCAAAACCGTCAAGGCCAACAAAAACAAGGAAAGCCCAAAACTCCCAGAGCGAAGAAGATCTCAAAGAAGTGTGATAACCTAATGTAATGTGGGATCCTGTCTGGGATCCTGGAATGGAAAAAGGAGCTATAGGGGAAACTAAGGAAATCTGAGTACAGGATGCACATTGGCTAACAATAATGTATCAACACTCTTTCATCAGTTTTAAGACATGTTAATAACAGGAAACTGGGTGCAAGATATATGGAAATTTTCTGTACTAGCCTCACCATTTTTATGTAAATTTAAAACCATTATCAGTTTATTAAAAAATCATCATCACCCAGCATCTGCACAGATAAGCAATCATCGTGGCTTTTGGCTACTAAGCTACAAAACAACCCAAATCACTGATTTTTCATCTTTATCATCAAATGATATGTTGTTGACCTAATTTAGCTATAATTAAGTCACTGATAAACACTCAGTGGAGAGTATAGGTCTGGAAAAGTCCATGCCTATTCAGTGACCTAAGACACTTCAATGCCTGCCCATGAGCTGGTACCCACCAGGGCCTCTGGGTCAGGTGCCCTGTGCACTGGTCAGATCATTGGCTCCAGGGCTTACAGGAACTGGGAGTGGTTCTTCCTGTATTTTGTCTAACAGTCTCAGAGAAGAGAAAACTCTCAAGACTTGTAAAATTTTTAGCTATACCAGGGAATCCCCTTGTTATACAGATAAGGAAAAGTAACTCAGAGAGCCAAGTGTCAGAGAAGGTCACAAAGCTCTGAAGCCATGGGCATCTAACTGCTCTTCTAGGGTTCTGGCAGCCCTGCAGGTGGAAAGGAAATAAAATCTTGGTGTAGCCAGCTGGGGAGGAAATGAGGAATGAGCGATGTTTATAGAATATTAGCAGGATGGGAAAAATAATAGCTAGCCAGAGTCAGAGGACACACATAAGAGAACGAGCAGAGGGATCAATGGATTCTGAATGTGCCTTTTTTAAACAATGCACTGGACTGTTTCTCAAAGCATTCGTGCCAGGAGCAGATTCGAGGTGTTTCAGCAAGGCAGGCAGTGGTGCCTAGGGAGAAGTAGCTTTCCTAGACAGTGAAGACAAGACTCTGGGTGGCACAAAGGAGGAGCCCTAAGGTCATTGCTGGACTGCAGGGCCTGCAGAAGGTTCTAGAAAGCTCTAGCACTCTCTCTCCTCTCTCTCCTCTCTCTCTCTCTCTCTCTCTGAGTCCAGGCTAATTTCTTCTGGAACTGCCTTTTCCTTTCCTTTGTTACAGAATTTAACCTGATTTGTTCAAGTCAAATTGTAAATCACAATAAAATGATTAATGAACAGTTGCTTGGATAAGTGTTTTGACAGGGAAGAGGCAACTCTACAACACAGTTCTCAGTGGAAAAGGCTGTGTCCAAAGGATATATAAAGACTGCTGTAGAGATGGAGGGTAGCTCAGTGGTGCCTAGCATGTGCAAGGCCCTGGGTTCAACAGTTCCACTGTTGTTAATTTGGCTGTAAATGTGACTGCCAGATGGACTGAGACAGTCCTGCCTGTTCCTCTCCTAGATGACATTTCCAGTTAATAATGAGAAGATTCTCCCTTTAAAACACTAAAAGCCAAGTGCAAGGCAAAGACAGCACCATTCAATAGTATCAGGAGACAGAAGACAGACTGGTCTACATTTGTACCAGGCTAAAGAAACAATGTCGCTACAGGGTGATGGTATTCTGGGATACCACAAATGGTAGGTACAGGATCATCAGAGTCCTTTCAGTATCCCTAAGGCAAAAGCAGCCAGCCAACCACATAGCTGGTATTCATGTACTGCCTTGGGAGCCCCTGGCAGGTTCTAGAGGGAGGGCACAGCTATTTTAACGAGGAGAGACACAACACTCACAACACAGTGACCACAGTGGGACCAGGAGTCCAAAAATGAACATTCTAGGATACTGGCCCTTGTGGGGGAAGAGGAGGCTCAGAAGAGAAAAAGCTGTGTTGAAGGAAGTGACCTCAAAGTAGGCTCCACTTCCCCCCAGATGTTAGGAAGTCCAGGTGCAAGAACTTGAATTTTTTTAAAAAGTCAGGGTGCAGATGGACTGGTCCGACACTAAGGATAGGACCACAGAGGCAGGTAGGCATGGTGTCACAAAAGGTCCCAGGAAGGGGCCATCAAGGTCACCTGACAAACAGAAGGAGACAAAGGGAAGAAAGGTGAGTGACAATGGTCAGTGCCTAAAACTATCAAAGGACAGATTAAGAACTAATCTTACAGGGATTCACTCAAGCTCCCTGGGAAATGTAAGTGTTTATAAGTCACTGTGTTGTTGAGGGAAGGTTCTAAGAGAACAAAACAAAGTTCAAGTACTGGGACCCACTGCCAGTTTGAAGAGGGGACTAACATGCGGAGGACGAATCTCAGCAAGTTTAATATATATCACAAGGAAAACTTCATTCACAAAGATCTAATCCATACACAATGTATAGAAGATATCAACTGATAAGAACAATGTAATTGGGAGAAGCAAGAGGAGCATGCTCACAAATGCTGAATAAAATTTAATTTAAAATCATCCTGAGTATCATAAAATGAAAAAAAAAAAAATAGTAAGGAAAGCCTTGCTGTCCAATAGTAGGAAAAACTGTGAAGAATTTATAGTAAAATACGATGAAATAATGTGGCCATTAAAAACTAACTTACAGAGTAGCTCTAGGAGCAAGGAGACAAGGCAACAGGGTCCAGAGGAAGAGTGTGGGTCAGAACAAGACTCAGCTGTCTGTCTCAAAGGCCACTATTTTCATGTGGAACAAAATAAGCAGCATTTTCATCAGGAATAGAGGCATAAGACAGAAAGTCCACCTGGGTGTTTCTTGACCTCTAGCTACCATAGAAGCTGCAGTGCTGAGACACTATACTCTCCCAAACTCCATAAGCTGCAGGGAATGTAACTTCTCAAGCCTGGCACCAGTGAGCACAAGCGCCAACAGATGCTAAATTCCACTGTGCCTACTGACTCTCCAAGCCTTCCTGACTCAGGCCATTTCAGTCATATCAGAAACCCTGCCAACGACCTGTATCTTCTCACTGACTCACCAGGGGCCAACTGCAGAAAGTTCTCATAGAGGTTTATGGTCCCAAAACAGCAATGCTTACAGCTCTCCACACCAGACTTAAGGCCCTACAGCAAAGCCAAAAGTGCACAGAGGAGTGCAGGAGCAGGACCATGGGAACCCAGCACATGTTCCGCACTGAAAGGATGGCTTCCAGGCATGGTGGGGAATCAATCAGCCAAAGAGCAACTATTCAAAGGGGACCCAATGCAGGGGTGGCAGAGACCACAAACACAGCCTCACTTCTCAGCCAGGTAAGAAGCCACTCAAGATCAGGGTACTTTGTGGCTCCAAGATGACAGTGAACAGTCTCAGTACCCAACATGCCCTTTGCAGATGCCCAAACAAGTAACTCTCTGGGTGGAAGCTGCCAACACTGGACCAAAGAAACACCTTTAACATGGGAATTGATGGCTAGGTGGTTATT